CTAGATCATGGAAAAGAGTCTTACAACTATCTAGATCGTTTACTTCAAGTGGTTCATTACCTAGATCAAGTTCTTTCCAACGTTTTTTTAATCTTACACCCCATGTCTTAATTCGCTCTCTGGGTTTACGTGCATTTGGACTGACCCAGTTCTTTGCCTCCTCTTCTGTGATGTAGTCATTACCAAGTACTGGAGTTTCCTTTTCAGGTTCTAGCTCAGGAACTAGAATTGGGATTACCATATGTGGTTTCTCCTGTACTTTGATTTTTCACTACTAAATTCTTTATATAGATCAGAATAACTCCACAATATCTTATTACGAAAATAAACACGATCACGAGTTGAATTATTCTGTTTTGGTATACTTACCTTGGTTTCTAATGATTCTTCTAGAGTTATATCTGGTAATTTTTTCGGCACTGTCATACTGGCTCGTGCCGAATCAGAAGAATAATCAGATATCTGAGATTCGATAGATATACTTGCCTTCACTTTCGAACTAGATGAATTAGAGGTTTGGTGTGAGCCAGTACATTCACGCTGAGATTTAGTAGGTATGCTTACTTTAGTTTCTGGTAAATCAGCTGAAGAATCGTTGATACACTTACCCTTATCTCAATTATCATCGGTAAATTCTATATTAGGATTCATGGAGAAATAATCAATAATAATTTGAATTTGACTATCAGACAATTCTGAAATCGAATTTGCACTATACGTTTTGATATATTTAACTTTATCAATTCCTATTGTTTCGAATAATTGGTAGATTTTTCTTGCCCTTTGAGTTTGCTTTTGTAATGTATTACGTTTAGTACCAAGTTGTGTAATAATAAAATCATATATTTGTCCTTTCGCTTTTTTCTCACCAACCTGCTCATTTTTCATAATGTTTTTAATTTGATTATAGAACTCAATTATGTAATGGTACCAGCATAAAATTTTATCTTGATTGGCCTTTATTGCTTGTTTTTCCGCAACACAAGCTTTCCGGTATAAGCTAGCTAAATTTAGTAAGGTTTTACTTCTTGATACCGAAAGTATAGTTATAGAATCTTTCTTATCATTATTTCCAGATACATGATTTTCTCTGACGGGCGTCAGCAAAATTTCCGTCGTATGATTTTTTTCAGATTTATTTTGTGGTGGTGAGCTCATGTTCTCGGATCGATTCTCATAAGATTCTGAACCCTGCTTGGATGAAGTAATAGTGAAATCAAACACATCATGAACAATGTCTTCTTTTTACCGATGAACTATTAATCATGCAAGACGCTTCACACTGATTGACTAAAGATAGATCCTGGGTTTTATTTTTAGCGGATTCACGTTTAAGCTTCTTTTCCCTATTCCTCTGCTTCATTTCATTACTAATCTTTTCCTTATTCTTTGATTCTAGGAATTCGTCGTTCTCTTTGTCTTCCAGTGATTTAGGATTGGATGGACGAGTATTGAAAGAATTGTCAGATGCCAACCCGTACGTAGTATTGTTTTGTGACTGTTCTAATTTTGTGACCCTGGTTTTGAGTTCGGCATTCTCTGCCATGAGGTTAGTGGTATCTGTTTTATTTTTCTTCTCTAACTCCTCGAATCTGGTCTTGAGCTCCACATTCTCTTCTATAGCTTGTTTAAATTTTGCATTCTCAGCCTTGATCTCGGTATTCTCCTTTCTAAGTTCAGCAATCTGAGCTGAGAGCTTGAAATTCAATTCTCTTAACGAATCTATTGTGGCTTGAGTGTTTTCCATTGTTTTATACAATATGTGAATATATTTAAAAGTTTAATTACAACTGAAATTTCACTGATGCCCGTTCGTGAAAAAAATGCTACGAAAAGAAAAAAAGTAAGCAAGTTAATAAATAGAATCGATCGATCAGATTCTTCACGTCAATGGCAAGAAAATTTTTTATTATTCGGTAAACTTGCTTTATTAATAATATAATTTAGTATAAATTGTATACATGAAGTCGAATTCTAATTTATGAATTTTTAGGGGTTGAAGCTGTTACTGTCATTTCGCCAGAACTATATTCACTATCTCCGGAATCAGAATTATGTAATATTTTATGAATTATACATGTGACAGCCGTTCTTAATGTCATCAAAGCATGGATAAGCGGGTATATGGCATTCGGTGAAGTCTTATTGGGGTGTTAGATACTAAATGATCTACTATCATAGTGCAGCACTATATGATTGGTCTACTAAGTAAGATTTTTGAAA